GGAGCAGGTTTTTAGGCACTGCTGTTTCCAGCACGGGGGCAGGGAGCCATGCTGGCAGTTGGCATGACAACTTACTGACCCTTCCAACCCTGTCTACAGCTGACTACTGACTGTGCACACAGAGAGACCAACGCCACCCTGGTCCAGGTGAGCAGGGCAAGGGCTGAAGAAGCTCTGCCACAGGCCTGCTGTGGCTTTTCAGGGTGCCTCTCACCCTCTGCTGCTTGAGTCTTCTACCAAGCCTTCCCCCCCAAAAAAGTATTTAGAGTCTGTGGTCCTTGGAGCTGGGGATGTAGCCCAGTGGGTGGAGTGTTTGTTTGGCATGAATGTGACGGACCCGGGTTGGGTCCCTAGCACCATGTAAAACAGGAGTGGTGGCGTGTGACTGGCAGCCCACATTGGGGATGTAGAGGCAGGAGGATCAAAAGTTCAGTGTTGTCTCTGGATCCATATGGAATTCAGGTTATAAGAGACCAATGGGATTCTATAGTCCTTAGTGTCTCCTGAGGTGCTGAAGGTCAGTTGTTCCCTAAAGCTTGCTAGGCAAGCCCCAAATACTGAGCCACACCTCCAGCCTGTCACTGGTGGATTCAGCCCTTGTGCGCTCTTCTTTCTACCTGATCCCGTCCTCTCTCCCACCTGTCCACGGCGAAAGTCTAATCCTGTCCATTGCCCAGGGTCCCCAGTGTCCATGTCCCCCTGTCCCCTTTCCCTCTAGAATTCGTTTTACTTTGTCCATTCCCTCAGCCTCATCTTGAAACTTTGTCTGCCGGTTCATTTCCTGTTAGCCAGAGTGGGTAGGTTTCGTCTTGTTCTGGGAATGCTCGATTTATACTCATTTCTAGGTCCTCTCTAGAACCGCCCCCCCTTTTCTTTTTTTTAAAAGATTTTATTTATTTATTATGTATGCAGTCTATACAGCCTTCTGCCTGCAGGCCAGCAGAGGGCACCAGATCTCATTCAAGGTGGTTGTGAGCCACCATGTGGTTGCTGGGAACTGAACTCAGGTCCTCTGGAAGAATAGTCGGTGCTCTTAACCGCTGAGCCATCTCTCCAGCCCGGTGACAAGTACCTTTACCCACTGAGTTATAGCAATATTCCCCTCTTTATTTTAAAGACTGATTGATTGATGTGTGCTGTTTTCGAGCACAGAGGCCAACAAGGGGTTGATCCCTTGGGGCTGAGGTTTAGAGGGGTCACAAGTAGGGCTCCTGGCTGACACCTCCTGCCTTGCTTGGGTACCTCTTAATTTGCTTTCTGTTGCCATGAGAAACATTATGATGCAAAGCAACTTGGGAAGGAAAAGGGTTTGTTTCCCCTTAGCTGTAGATGGTCCGTCATGAAGGGACTCAGGCAGGAGCTGAGGGAGGAGTCCAGGAGAAATGCTCCCCATGGTTTGCTTGCTCAGCCTGCTTTCTTGTAGAATCCAGAACCACCCGCCCAGGGGTGGCAGCACCTACCACCGTGGGCTGGTCCCTCCCACATCAATTATTAATCAAGAAAATGCTGCCCAGATTTGCCTACAGGCCAATCTGATAGAGGCTTTTTCTCATTTGAGGTTGTTCCTTCTTCCCAGGTGAGCCTAGCTTGTGTAAGGCTGATAAATAATGATAATAATTAATAATAATAATAATAATAACAACCAGGACTTACTC